TTCCTGCTATCGTGCACCCTGGGAGGCAGCAGGTGATGGCTCAAGTCCTAGGCTCCCCGTCACCCACATGGGAGACCCAGCTTGGGTGCCTGGCTCCTGGGGTCAACCTGTCTCAGCCCAGTCTGTGGCAGATATTTGGAGAGTAACAAGTGAATAGAAGATCTTTGTCTCTGTCTCTGCCTTTCAAACAAACAAACAGATAAATAATTTTAAAAAGAAGACCAGAGACTGGTGCTTATCCACTAAAGAACTTTTCTTTCTTTTTATTTTTTTAAGATTGATTTATTGGGGCCAGTGCTGTGGAGCAGCAAGTTAAAGCCCCAGCCCACAGCACTGGCATCCTGTATGGGCGCCAGTTCGAATCTGGCTGATCCACTTTCAATCCAGCTCTCTGCTATGGCCTGGGAAAGTGGTGGAAGAAGGCCCAAGTTCTTGGGCCCCTGTACCCGCAAGGGAGACCTGGAGAAAGCTCCTGGCTCCTGGCTTTAGATCAGCTCAGCTCTGGCCATTGTGGTCATTTGGGGAGTGAACCAGCGGATGGAAGACTTCTCTCTCTGTCTCTGGCTCTACCTCTCTCTTTCAAATAAATAAAATAAAACCTTAAAAAATAATAAAAACAAACAAAAAACAAAAACAATAACAAAACACAAAAAAGAAGAAAGAAAAAACAAAAAAAAAAAGAAAGAAAAAAAATCTTAAAAAAAAAAGTTGGGCCCCTGTCACCCATGTGGGATTCTTGGTTGGAATTCCTGGCTCCAGGCTTTGGCCCTGGCCCAGCCTCAGCCATTACAGGCATTTGGGGAGTAAACCAGAGGGTGGGAGCTCTTTCTCAATATGTCTCACTCTCTCTGCCTGTCTCTCTCTATGTCTCTTAATTAAAAATAAAACTTAAATTTAAAAAGTTTATTTTGATGCAAAATTTTTTGCAACCCACACATAGTTTTTCATTGTATGCGATTTCTCTGAATTTTTTGGAGGACCCTTCATATTAGGATTTCTTCTAGAAGAAATAAAACCACAACTATTGTCTTAAGTTTAGCTATGACAAATGGCTTGGATGTCCTAGGTGAAGATATGGGAAGAGCAGGACCTCTTCAAGTTTGGGCGCAGCGTCAGCACGGGTCAAGCTGGACTGCAGAATGACCACACCTTGAACACCTAGCGCAATGGCATCTGGAGGTTTTACTGCTCCCACTGCACAGATGTGCAAATAGTGAAGCCAAGACTCCAGCTTAGGCTGGCTTGACTTCTGGGCCACGTTGGCCCAGGACCAGTAGGACCATGTGATCGTGTGCGCTGGGAAGGCGGACTTGTCTCTTCAGGCCTGCGGCCCACTCTGTGTCCCCACTGGGACTGATCTGTCCCCCCTCTCCAAACTGTGGACTTCTCACGGTTGAAAAAGAGATAATTTCCCCCATGTTGACTCTCTGGGGGTGGGGATAGGGTGTTACTAGGGGAGGCAAGGTGAGGGACAAGAAAGAAACTGGAATTGAGGTGGAGAAAGCCTCCATCGGTGCCTCAGGCCCCCCCATGCTCTGTGACCACCAGAGGGCACCCTTGCCTTGCATGGCATCTCAGTTCCTCATTCAGGGGTGGGGAGCCTTTTTACTGCCAAGGGCCAATTGGGCATTTACAACATGATTTGTAGACCATACAAAATTATCAACTTAAAAATTAGCCTGGGGGCGAGCTCTGTGCCGTAGCGGGTAAAGCCGCCGCCCGAAGTGCTGGCATCCCATATGGGCACCAGCTCGAGTCCTGGCTGTTCCACTTCCAATCCAGCTTTCTGCTATGGTCTGGGAAAGTAGTGGAACATGGCCCACATGCTTGGGCCCCTGCACCCATGTGGGAAACCTGGAAGTAGCTCCTGGCTCCTAGCTTTGGATCAGCCATTTCGGCCATGCAGCCATCTGGGGAGTGAACTAGCAAGTGGAAGACCTCTCTCTCTCTGCCTCTGCTGCTCTGTAATTCTGCCTTCCAAATAAATAAATATTAAAAAAAAAAATTAGCCTGCTGGGGCTGGCGCTGTGGCCTGCTTTGGTATCATCCCATATGGGTACCAGTTCAAGTCTTGTCTGCTCCACTTCTGGTCCAGCTCTCTGCTATGGCCTAGGAAAACAGGGGAAGATGGTCCAAGTACTTGGGCCCTGCACCCATGTGGGAGAGCCTGAGGAAGCTCCTGGCTCCTGATCAGCTCAGCTCTTGCCATTGCAGCCATTTGGGGAGTGATCCAGCAAATGGAAGACTTTTCTCTCTGTCTTTTGCTCTCACTGTCTGTAATTCTAACTCTCAAACAAATAAATATTTTTTCAAAAAAATCAGCCTGCCATAGATGCATTGAATTTCAAGTCCTACCTGTGGTTGCATTGGCAGGGCCAGGCCAAAGGATTTCGGCAGCCTTTTGTATGGCCCACGGGCTGGGCATTCCTACCTGCACCTGGCAGCTCCCTGCAAGACAGCCCTAGGGAGGGAGCACTCCACCGCAGGACAGTACGGGTCAGTTTGCCCCAGGGTGTATGGTACACGTGGCTGTCCAGAGAGGTTAAACGATTGTTTAGGATTAGGTAATGAGTTCATGAGGGAACTGGCGTTGGAACCCATCCTGACTAAAGCCAGCATGCTCAGCCATGATTACTGCTTCTCTGAAAGAAAGGTCTGGGTCCCTGCTGTGGCGGGTGGGAGTGGGACGGTCTACACACACATCATGAAACAGACCTAGAGGCACAGGAAAAGAAAAAGAAGTTCGAGGGTGGGAGTGTGGTGCTGCAGCTAAGAGGCTGCCAGGGACACCCACGTCCCGCACCGCAATGCCTGGGTCTGATTCCCGGCTCCATTTCTGATCCAGCTTCCTGCTAATGTGCATCCTGGGAGGCAGCAGGTGAGGCTCAAGTCCTTGGGTCCCTGCCCTCCATCTGGGAGCCTGGACTGAGTTTCTGGCTCCTGGCTTCAGCTTGACTTAGCCCAGATGTTGGGGGTGCATTTGGGGAGAAAACCAGCAGATGGAAGATCTCTCTCTTTCAAATAAAACTAAATTTCTAGGGGCCAGTTTTGTGGGTTAAGCAGCCACCTGTGACAGCACCATCCCGTTCGGGTGCCGGTTTGAGTCCCGGCTGCTCCATTCTGATGCAGCTCTCTGCTAATGAACCTGGGAGAGCAGCAGAGGCTAGTCCAAGTGCTTGGGCTGCTGTACCCACATGAGAGACCTGGATGACACTTCTGGCTCCTGGCTTCAACCTGGCCCAGCCAAAACCATTGTGGCTATTTGGGGAGTGAATCAGCAGATGAAAGAGCTCTCTATCTCTCCCTCTCTCTCTGTAACTCGGCCTTTCAAATCAATAAAATAAATCTTTAAAAAAATAAATTTCCCAAACCCCAAATAGTATTAATGTGCAAGTGGGATAGTATGTGGCAAGTCCCAGCTGCACCCACCGGGAAGTGGGCAGAAAACACAAGATCCAGGCAAAAAACTGGTCCACATCAGTTGGATCCAACATGGCGTCCAGATTAGCCACTATCCAACCTCCAACTTCATTATCCCCTCATTAGAATACATGAGCATAGTAGAAACCGCCCTGACTCCAATGGGAGTGACCATACAAGGAGAGAAAACAGGTGGATCCCTAATTCCTTGAAGTTCCTGCCTCTTCCCAGAAATAAGCGACTATTCTGCTCAGATAATATTGTACATCTCCTGGAGTTCAGAAACGTAGAACCCTGGCTACAGCCGCCTGCTGTGTCTGTGGAAAAGCCTGCTCTTTGCCACTTGCTTTAACAAAATTTCTTAAGAAAACTCTGCTGGCTTGCAGTTCTATCTCTCACCAAAACCAAAGACCCTCCCGAGGCTAGGGGGACGTACACAAGGGTCTTCAGGTGTCCTGTATGAAGAGGAGCCAGAGAGAGACGTGCGCTGACGGGGGGTGGCATGGTGCACAGTCCTTTCTGTGCTGTTATTTCCTGTAGGTGTGTGACACACACATAAGAGTGTGTAGCAAACACTTGTCCTAATCCCTCTGTGACCTTGGAGTTATGTGTAGTGCAGTGGATTTTTCATTTGTGTTTGCAAAAATATGTTTTTTTTAATTATTTATTTATTTGAAAGGTGGAGTTACAGATTGGGGGAAAGAGAGAGAGAGAGGGAGAGAGGTCTTCCATCCACTGGTTCACTCCCCAAATGGCTGCAATGCCAGAGCTGGGCTGATCTGAAGCCAAGAGCTTCTTCCGGAGCTGCGCCAATCTGAAGCCAGGAGCCAGGAGCTTCTTTCAGGTCTCCCATGTGGGTGCAGGGGCCCAAGGACTTGGGCCATCTTCTACTGCTTTCCCAGGCCACAGCAGAGAGCTGGATCACATGTGGAGCAGCTGGGACTTGAACAGGCACCTATAGGGGATGCCAACACTGCAGGGAGCAGCTTTACCTGGTACTCTACAGTGCTAGCCCTCAAAATACATTAAAAAAAAGATTTGTGGGGCCAGCACTGTGGCGTAGAGGGTAAAACCGCCACCTGCAGTGCCAACATCCCCTGTGGGCGCTGCAACATCCCCTGGAGCCCCTGCACCCACGTGGGGTACGTGGAGGAAGCTCCTGGCTCCTGGCTTTGGATCGGCACAGTTCCAGCCATTGCAGTCATCTGGGGCGTGAACCAGTGCATGGAAGACCTCTCTCTCTCTCTCTCTCTCTCTGTCTCTCCTTCTCTCTGTGTAACTCTGACTTTCAAATAAACAAATCAATCTTATTTAAAAAAAGAGATTTGTTTGTTTATTTATTTGAAAGGCAGAGTTACAGATAGAAAGGGGCGGGGAGAGAGAAAGAGAGGGAGATGGCCAGGGCTGGACCAGGCGGAAGCCAGGAACCTGGAACTCCACCTGGGTCTCCCACATGGGTGGTAGGGGCCTAAGCACTTGGGACACCTTCTGCTGTGTTCATAGGCACATCAGCAGGGAGCTAGACTGGAAATGAAGCAGGCTGGACTCTGCTCATATGGATGCCAGTGTCACAGGCAGTGACTTAACCCACTGTGCCACAAAAACAGAGCCTGGCTGGCACTGTGGCATAGCGAGTAAAGCCTCCACCTGCAGTGCTGGCATCTCATATAGGCGCCTGTTTAAGTCTTGGCTGCTCCACTTCCAATCCAGCTCCCTGCTATGGCCTGGGAGAGTAGTAGAGATGGCCCAAGTCCTTAGACCCCTGCACCCACGTGGGAGACCCTGAAGAAGCTTCTGGGTCAGATCAGCCCAGTTCTGGCCATTGCAACCATTTGGGGAGTGAACCAGCAGATGGAAGACCTCAATCTCTTTCTGCCTCTGCCTCTATGAACTCTGCCTTTCAAATACATAAATAAAAATCTTTAAAAAAAATCCCCTGTAAAAATGCATTTTATGGGTTAGCATTTGGCTCAGCGGTAAAGATGCCGCTTGGGATCGCACTGTTCCGGATCAGAGTGACTGGTTTGATTTCCGGCTCCATTTCCGATTGCAGCTTCCCGCTAATGTGTAGTCTGGGAGGCATCAAATATGACTCAAGTGCTTTGGGTCCCTGCCACCCATGGGGGAAGCCTGGATGGAGTTCCATGTTCCTGACTTTGGTCTGGCCCACCTTTGGCTGTTGAGAGCATTTGAGGAGTGAACCAGAGGATGGAAGATCTCTGTCTCTCTGCTTTTCAAATAAAATGGCAATACGTTTTAAAAATCTTTTAAATGCATTTCATGTAATGGGCACTTTGTGGGTTCTCAAGAAAAGCTAGAGGAATGGTGACTAAAATAGCAAGGGAATGTGTCTTCTGGTGGGTTGTAAGTCCATGTAGAAGGTTCTGGACAAAGCAGATCTCTGCTGGGTGTCTTTCTGTCATGGAAATCAAATATGAGTAAGTCCAAACTTCTCCATCAGCTGAGCTCACTCGTTTGCCAAATCACCCAAGTCAACACTCCCAAAGCAAAACAGGTTCCAGAAAAAGTCCCTGGAAGGTCACCCCTTTGTCTGCCATCAGCTTGCTTCTCCTATTCCCCTCATTACAGAAATCCTAGCGCAGCGCTAAGATCTGAGCGAGCAATGAGTGGAGCCAGGGAGAGGGGAAGTCGGTCAACTTTTGGTCACACAGGACCCTTGGAGGCTTGTTCTGGGTAATGAGCTGGACTTCTTGCACCTCAGAAGGTGGGAGAACCACATCCTGGTCTCACCTACCCACTCACCCACTCTTTCGATATCAGCCACCTAAGCTGCACCCTGCCCCTCAGCCTAAAGCACCAGCCCACAAGCTGCCCTGCTTCCTAGAGTCCCACAGAGCTGGGTGAGCAGCGCCCTTGCTCCCAGAAGCGTGCACTTGATGCCCAACATCCCTGCAAGTCCTTGGCAAGTGTTGTGTGAGACGTGTTTGTAATAGGAAGTTCCCCAGCTCCGCCTGCTGACCCCAGGCGTGACCACATCAAGACCTCACGGCGCAGCTCCCCCTCGCCGACGGGCGCACCGACATGACCTGGATGCTGGTGCTCATCTTCATCACGGCCCACCCAGGTGACAGGGCACTCGCTTTAGACCGAAGGGGTGTGCGGCTGTGGGGGGGGTTGGAGGAGAGTGGACTTAGATGCACCAGGGGCGCAGGCATGCGGGGGGGGCTGGACACCGAGCTGTGAGGGGGCAAGTGAGGGAAGCGGTGGACTCCCCCACTTTGCAGTCCCTTCATGTGCTCACCTGCTGCCAGGGTCACTACCCAGGTCCATCCCAGAGCCCTTTTCACAGCCGATTCCTCTTAGGATAAAAGGACCAGTGAAAGGTGGCCAGGAAGAAGGAAGGGCTGCAGGAAGGGGCCTTTTTTGTGCTTTTCTTTTCTTTGTGTGTGTGTGTGTGTGTTTCACTTTTTTAAGGGATCTGTTTTAATTGATGTTCAATAAGTATTTTAAACCAGGCTCCTTAGCTAGGGTCTAGATAGATAATTAGGACTTTGGGAGATCTTTCTTTGTGAAACTGATTTTTTTTTTTTAATTTGGATGTCAGAGTTACACAGAGAGAAAAGGAGAGGCAGAGAGAGAGAGAGAGAGAGAGAAAGAGAGAGAGGTCTTCCATCCACCTGTTCACTCTCCAGATGACCGCAACAGCTGGAGCCGTGCCGATCTTAAGCCAGGAGCCAGGAGCTTTTTTCTGGGTCTCCCATGTGAGTGCAGGGGCCCAAGGACTTGGGCCATCTTCTACTGCTTTCCCAGGCTGTAGAAGAGAGCTGGATCAGAAGTGGAACAGCCGGGACTCAAACCGGCGCCCATATGGGATGCCGGCACTGCATGACTGGAAAATTTCCCTAACTCAAGGATTTAGTGAGGGATTTTAATTAGTTTAATTCATAAATATGGATGTGCTAAATTGGGAATCTCCATGTGTGTGCCCTAGAGATTTACTTAATTATCTCTAACAAAAACCAATGTGGCAAAGACAGTTTACTCTAAATGCCATTCGTTCCAAAATGATACCTGAAATAATGTAATTAAGGATATTAGTGGGGGCTGCACTGCAGCGTAGTGGGTTAAAGTCCTGGCTTGTAATGTCAGCATCCCATATGGGCACTGGTTCGAGTCCCAGCTGCTCTACTTCCAATCCAGTTCCTGCTAATGCACCTGGGAAGGCAGCTGAGGAGGGCCCAAATCCTTGGGACCCTGTACCCATGTGAGAGACCCAGAGGAAGCTCCTGGCTCCTGGCTTTGGATAGGCCCAGTCTGGCCATTGCAGCCATTTGGGGAGTGAAGCAGCAGATGGAAGACCTCTCTCTCTCTCTCTCTCACTCTCTCTCTCTCTTTCCCTTTCCCTAGCACTTTCAAGTAAAATAAATCTTTAAATAAAAAGGATATTAGTTAGCTAGGCATCCATATTTCATGAATCAATGAGCTTCAGTTTCATGTGGCAAGTTCAGGGTCAACAAGTTACTGGTGAATATGCCTGGATGATGTTGGGAAAGGGTGAGGGTAAGAGGTGATATGGGAAAGAGTATGGAGAGTGAGTTCATAAGCCTCGTTAAGAAATTACAGTGGTAGGGGCTGGTGCTGTAGCGTAGGGAGTAAAGCTGCCACCTGCAGTGCAGGCATCTCATATGGGCAGCTGTTCAAATCCCAGCTGCTCCACTTCCGGTCCAGCTCTCTGCTATGGCCTGGGAAAGCAGTGGAGGGATGGCCCAAGTCCTTGGGCCCCTGCAGCCACATGGGAGACCTGGAAGAAGCTCCTAGCTCCTGGCTTCGGATTGGCCCAGCTCTGGCTGTTGCAGCCACTTGGGGAGTGAACCAATGGATGGAAGACCTCTCTCTCTCTCTCTCTCTCTCTGCCTCTCTGTAATTCTGCTTTCAAATAAAGAAATTACAGTGGGAAAGAGGCAAGGGTTTCATGAGGCCTGCCGTGTGCTGGTGCCCAGACACCCGACATGTGGGGACATCTGGGACACCCATGCTGAGCTCTCTTGCCTTCTCTCCTTGGCTAACGGGGGAGATGTTTCTCTGGGTCTTCTCTCTGCCCCCAGGATGCTGTGCCCTCTGGGTATCCCAGCCCCCTGAGATTCACACTGAGGAGGGTGCTGCTACCACCCTGCCCTGCAGCTTCAACGCCTCCCAGGGGAGACCAGCCATTGGCTCCGTCACGTGGTACCGGGACAAGGTGGCTCCAGGGAAGGAAGTGAAGAACGAAACCCCAGAGTTCAGGGGCCGCCTGGGCCCCCTGGCCTCTTCCCGGTTCTTCTACGACCACCAGGCTGAGCTTTGTATCTGGCACACCTCAAGCCGTGATGCGGGCGTCTACGTCTGCAGCGTGGAGGTGCTGGGCCTGGGCGTCGGCACAGGGAATGGGACTCGGCTGGTGGTGGAGAGAGGTGAGGTCTGGGGCGGCGGGGGGGGGGGGGGGGGATGTGTCCCAGGGAGGCAGGAACCCTCCCCAGCCTTGTCCACCGAGCCCCTTCCTCCCGCAGCCCCTCCTCCGCTAGAGACCAGCACAGTCCTCTTCCTCCGGGCTGGATTCTACGCTCTCAGCTTTCTCTCTGTGGCCATGGGCAGCACCCTCTATTACCAGGGCAAATGTGAGTCATGGGGCCGGGGCCATGGGGCAAGCCACATGGGAGGGACAGACGCCAGGAAGAAGAGCGCTTCTGGGCGGTGGCCCTGAGCAGCTCCCATTGTCCCTCCCACCAGGCCACTGTCACCTGGGGACACGTCGCCACTCTTGGATGGCCTCTGAGGAGTGATTCTAGACCCCTACCCCCCGCCGATGCCCAGCCCTCTTCAAGAGACCCCAATAAACCTGTCTCTGTCCAACCACTGACTCCCTCCTGTGAGTCTCGTGTGTTTTCTTCCCCGTTGTCCAGATGCCCCAGGATGCCTCTCTTCAGGTGCTGGCTCCTCACCCCCACCCCCTGCTTCCACGTCGGACCTGGAGGGGCCACGCAGAGAGCTTCCCAACAGTGGTGCCCAGAGGCCCCTCCCACCTCCTCTCCCCAGTCCAGGGGCTGAGGCTGGCGCTCCTGATCTGACGGCTCCTACTCCAGTCAGGCCCCCTGAACAGCCCCCCCGACTCTTCTCTGGCCTGCAGGAGAGCCCAGGCCCTTCAGCATCTTCCTTCACCCCATAAACCACCACTTGCCCCCCACTGTGGAGGGTGGGCCGGGGATCGCGCTGAAGGGGGGCGGGTGCTGGAGAGACGGACGGACGGACAAGTCTGAGACACAGGTGACCGCACCACAGTCTTTACTGGGAGCACCACCGGGTGATGCTGGCCTCTGGCTGGGGCGAAGCAGGTGTCCTGGGCGCTCAGGTGGGCTTGTTTTTAGCAATGCAGGCGTAGTCAGCACTGGGGTCCTCCTTCATGCTTTCTCCTTCTCCGTGGGCCAGCTCCGTGCCCTCTGCACTCTGCACGGGCAGCCTCTGTAGAGACGCGTAATGGAGCTCCGTCTCCCCCGAGCGCTGGACCTGGGACCGGGGGCGGGCAGAAGGCGCTGATGGGAGGGTCTCGGGCGTGGCCGCCCTCAGACCCTTCCCTGGGATACCCGCCCCCCACCTCCCACCTCTCTTACCTCACTGCCTTCGCCTTTTCTCTCTCTCCCCACCACCCCACTTTCTCCTTTGCTCTCGCCCCCCGCCCCCCCCCTTGTCCCAGCCCTCTGCTGGGAGAAGATCTTCTTCCGACCTTTCCCCGTTTCCCACTCGGGCTCTCTCCCGCCCTGCCCCCTCCCTAACCCCAGACTCACCCAGCTCCTCTCCAGCCGCTTCACTGGAAGAAAAACAGCAGCTCAGCGGGGGGTGGGGGGTGGGGGGAGGGGGCTGCTCACCGCCCTCCTCTCCCGCGGGCCTTGCCCCACTTGCTGGACCCCCGCCCCCCGCGGTTCCCACGGCCAAGCCCCCCCCCCCCCCGCCCCGGCCCCGCCTCTCCCTTTGGATGCTCTTCTCTCACCCCTCCCGCCGGCGACATGGAACATGGCTCACCTCTCCTAAGGAGCCGGCACAGACAGGCGGACAGAATGGTCCCGACCAGGAGCAGCAGCCCCAGCAGCCCCAAGCCCACGTAGAGCAAAGGGCACAGGTCTGTTGGGAAGAGGGATAGCGCTGGAGGGCCCACTGCTCTCTTCCCCTGAGCCCAGCCTTCTGGGTGGAGGGAGGCATCTCAAGTCTCCTCTCCATTTGTTTTCAGAAGCAGGAAAGTGTCCTCTCCAGATCCCCAGCCCAGCCCCTGCTATCTCCCCTCCTGCCCGAGGGCCCGCATCCCTCACCTGTACGCACATGAGTGCCTGACTGCTGCTCACCCCTGCGCGGCTCTCGCCACCAGCCCTGCTGCTGCCCCCGAGCCTCCCGGGAGGTCCTTGCCCACCTGCACAGGCTGCTCCCCGGAGGCCCTGGCAGCTGTCAGGAGCCACACGTGCCCCTGTGCCCTCAGTCCTCCCGGAGTCCCCACAGCCCGCCCTGCACAGGAGGGAGGACCCTTACTTACTCTTTGTACACCAGCTGTTACCCATGGCAAGCTGGCATGAGGCTGGCGGGGGACTGGCGACTGACCTGGCGGTCAGGAGACCCAGCGCTTGGGCTAACTGGCCTAGGGTTAGTCACGTGCCCCAAGTTCCTCATCTGCAGCCGGGCGGCCTCTGTTTCAAGCATTCTTCTGGCTGAGGTGCTTTGCTGTGCTAACCCTGAGCTGAGTACTTCTTGGCCGTCGCCGCTCATCCCTATAGCAGTGTAGGGTGCCGGGGCACCTGTTTGTTAACTAAGAAACCAGAAACTCAAGCCTGCACTGGGACTCGAACACCCAGCCCAGAAGCAGCAGAGCTGGCGTTCTAGGCTCCAGAGCCCACCCCCTCCCCTCCACCCAGGCATTTTGGAGCGGCGTCTCCCGCACCGGGGAGTTCCAGGGGGCTGATGCTTGGGCTGACGGACGGAGAGGAGCAGGGTGTGCAGTGGATGTGGGGATTGGTGGAAGAGGGCAGCAGATGGGGTCCATTGACACCCAGGAGTTTGGGCTTTGCTCCCTCAGCCCCAGAGCGACACGGGAGAGCGGGGCCCTGCATGTCTGGTGTGGTGCGTGGGTGTGGAGAGCCTACGGCCCTGTAACTTCCCCTCAGGGACTTCCTGCCCTCCAACCACTGGTTCCTGTTTGAAGGCACTGAGGTCGGGGGCACTCCCTTCACCCCAGACCCAAACGAATCCTCTAGGGACGGAAGCGGAGACCCTGGCAGGAATGCTGGGGTGCGTGGCAGGTGGAGGGGAGAGACCGCGGTGCCCGTGTGGCCGGGAGAGCCACAGTGGACGATTTGTCACCCGCAGGCAGCAGAAGCTGCACGGAGGATGCTTCTCGAGTCCCAGGAACCCCTCGCCTACGCGCTCCTCCCTTCCGCTCAGCCTCTGCTGGCTCGGGGTGGGGGCGTTCTCCCCCCGTGTCGCTGCTCACTCCCGGCTTACTCAGAGCTGTGGCTCACGGGGTGGGTGCATTCCAGACCCGCTCCGGCCATCTGAGTGGAGAGGAGTGTTGCCACCACGGACAGACGCTCCTGTCCCTCCCCCGGCTTTAACTTCTCCCCGGGCCTGGGCGCCTCCCCGGCGTCGTGAGGGGAGGATGTTCGATGCTGAGGACTGGGGTTACAACACCTTTCCTTTCGGACTCCTGGGACTGTCACTAGGCCTCCAATCCCCCTCAGCTCGGCATCTTTTTGATCCTGCCGGTTGTCAAGATCAGAATGCCCGCCTCTTGCCTGATTAACTCTTCCCCCTGCCCTTTGCACGGCATCAGCTGAGAGCTCAGGATCCTGGTCTAAGTGGATGGACAGCACCCACCCCCACCCTGGCTCCCACATCAGATAAGGTACTTCGATGAGTTAGGGTGATTAGCCTGGTGCTCTGCAGCTATATCCATAGGGTGCTTGGCTGGAGAGTCAAAGGAAGCATGACTTAGATCTACATGAGCACTGCTGATAGATTTAGAACAGAGTTGATGGGAAGTTGGTGCTGGGAAACGAGGTGTGGTTAATCCCCTAGGACTTCCTGCAGGAGGCGGTATTCTGGTGCTAAGCACAGATCTAGGTAAGGGCAGTGGTCGAGACCCTCAGACAGACACCTGGGTGGCACCATGATGGAGAGGTAGACAGGTGCTGAGCATTGTACCCCACGTCCGTGAGGAGGGGAGGACTGGAGAGCCCAGGTGGGGGCGATGGGTGAGCAGCAGATCTGGTGTCTGGTCCATAGGCGCTCGCACTTCCTTCTCTAAATGCAGTCTTCTGCTACTTCCTCCCCAGCCCCACACCACACCCCGCTCACTCTCCAGAACAGCAGGACACGATGTAGTTTAGGCTTTTTTCTTTCTTTAACATTTCATTATTAAAAAGTTCAAGCATAGATGAAAATTGGAAGAACAGCACGGGGAACATATCCTGGTCCCTTAGATTTTACGATGCGCGTTAGTGCATATTCGCTTTGTTGCGTATTGCAATCTCACTTTTTTTTTTTTACAAGCATCAGTACTTTTCACCTCTCAGCTCTTGCATGCTGATCAGTAACGCAAATTCAGTACTTGTTTCCCCATTTCTTTTTTTACCCAAGGAAGACAAAATTTTCATACAGTGAAACGCACAAATCTGAAGTCAGGATTTTTTTTTTTTCTTAACTGTTTTGTGGTCAAGTCTCTCGAGCCAGATTGCTGGGCTGAAGCTTGACTCTGTCACTTGCGGTGTGACAAGTTTCCTTCCTTTTCTGTCTTTTTTTTTTTTTTTTTTAAGAAATATTTATTCATTTGAAAGGCAGAGCGATAAAGAGAAAGAGGGAGGGAGGGACAGAGACCTGCCATCTGCTGGTTCACTTCCCAAATTCCTGTAACAACCGGGGCTGGGCCAGGCTGAAGTCAAAAACCAGAAACTCCATCCAGGTCTTTCCCATGGATGGCGGGGTCCAAGTACCGGAGCCATTTCTGCCGCCTCGCAGGTGCATTGGCAGGAGGCTGAATCAGAAGCAGAGCAGCAGGACTGAACCAGCACTCAGATGTGGATGTGGCCCTTCCAGTGGGTGGCTTAACCTCCTGCGCCACAATGCCTGCCCCATCCACAAGTTTCATAACCTCTCTACGCCTGTTTCCTCTGAGGTGTTGTCAGAATGAAAAGAATTATGATGTATGAAGTGTGGGTAGGGGTGAGTGGATAGCCCAGCCATTAAGATGCTCGTGTCTCACACCGGAGTCAACACCCAGCTCGGGCTCCTGACTCCAGCAGTGATGGCTCAAGTAAGTGAGTTCTGGATGGCTTGCCTGGCTCCGGGCTTCAGCCCTGGCCCAGCTCTGGCCACTGGGGGCGTTCAGGGAGTGACCCAGAGGAAGGGACCCCTCTGTCTCTCATAAACACACACACACACACACAAGCTACAGTATTTGCGGATCAGTAACAGGCAGATGCTGGGAGACTTTTGCATATCTTTGTATAATAATAACAGCGAGGGCACAAAGAGCTCTATTATTTTTATCGAAACACAGAGATGTCTCTAAGAAAGGGGGATGAACTGAGACCACCTCCCGCTGCTTTGGAACTGGTCTCTCTTCTGTCATCCCCTACCACGCTGCCTACCTCTCTCGCTCTGTAGGTCCTTGTTGTGTTTTGCCCCGGCCTCCCTTCAATTGTGTTGTCATTCATCTGTCCACAACTATTCAGTGAGCGCCTGTGACTGATTGTGGAGCTCTTGGAGACTGGGGCCTGGCTCGTGGTTTGCGTCTGATCGTCTGATCGTGCAGCAGGGAGCTAATGCATTCCCATCCACCCTGGGTGCCTCAGTATTGAGCCTGGAGCCCCCTTCAGCCTCCAACACTGTGAACTGGCTGAGCTGTGCCTTCCTTTCTCGCCCAGCGCTAGGGGGTTGGGGATGACAAAGGGATGAGAAAGGTGAACCCAGAGTGGCGGGGGTGGAGGGGGGCTTCTTCTTGGTGACCCAGACACCCAGCCCGTCAGCGTGCCAGTTCTTGCCCGTCTGCTCCAGCCTTGGACCTCAAGGAGGTGGGTGCAGCCCACTCTCCAGCACCCACCTCTGGAGTGGACAGCAAAACGCACTCCACCTTGGAAGCCTGGAGTTCTCATCCCAGCCCTGCCGCCTTGCTTTCTGCCAGCTGCTGTCCTGCCCCGAGTCCCCGTTTCCCTCCTCGCTAGCCCAGAAGCGTCTCTGAGTTCCCCTCCAGCTCTACCCTGAAAGCTCAACTCCTTCCTCACTTCAGAGAACCCAAGCATCACTGTGCCCCACCCCTGCTCTGGGTAAACAGGAAGCTGAGGGGGGGAGCCTCGTTGAGCCGGAAAGCCCCAGCCAGGTGTGTGGGTCCACAGGGAGGGGGTGACCCCACCCCGGAGGTATGAAAGCCCTCGGGTCCTGACCCTGGTTCGGAGTCTGCATGGGGGCACTGGAGTTGGAGGGCCGGGGTAAGAGGCCCCAGGGGAGGGGCTGCTTCCTGCTGGCTGTGGCAGGGGCCACTTCCCTGGTGACCCTGCTGCTGGCAGTGCCTATCACCGTCCTGGCTGTGCTGGCCTTGGTGCCGCAGGAGCAGGGAGGACTGGTGAGTGGTTGCAACAGGCCCCGGGGGCTGTGTCTTGTTGCTGTCCTGGCTGAGTGCTTGCTGTACCTGGGGTCAGTGCCTGCCTGGCTCAGCTGGGTAGAGATGCCCCGTGGAGGAGGTGGGGGTGGGGGTTTAGTGCCTTTCTCTTTGCCGTCTCTCTCTGATGTTTCTCTCATACCCTGTCCTGATGTCTCCAAGCCCCTGAGTGTGTGTCTCCTCTCCCGATGCCTGCCCAAGTGCACGTGCCTTGCTTGCATGTCCTTCTGGGGAATGTGCATTTGGGGATAGCATGGGAAACCCCAGGCCTGGAGCTGGGGTCTGTCGCAAGGGTGGGGTTGGCATCAGCTGAATCTGAACACTGGGCACTGTGACCCCACCCAACCAGGTACCAGAGACGGCTGATCCTGGGGCACAGGCCCAACAAGGACCGGGTAAGAGCAAACCAACTCCTCTCCCCTGCTGGAGCCCCCACCCCACCCCCAGGGACTCCCAGCTCCCACCCACAGCCAGGAGGCCAGGCACCCATCCACCCGCCCTGCCGCTGCCCTCTGAAAGGGGACATGCAGCATGGGTAGGAGGCCTCCCTGACCCCAACCGAGCACTCTTTGTCCCTTGCAGGATTTCAGCAGCTGCCGGAGGAGGAGAAGGAGGAGCCAGAAGCAGATCTCAGCTCCAGGCTGCCGGCTGCCCACCTCATAGGTAAAGCTCTCATAACCCCAGCGTGCCAGCCCTACTCCCCCACAGTTAGGGTCCCTCCGCTCTGTTACTCCAATGCCCGGGTTTCCCACCCACCCCACCACCTCCCGCCCCTCAAGTGCCCACCCTTCCAGCTTCCTCTCCCCTACCCGAGCCGCGCCCCACACCCAAAAGCCCCGCCGCCGCATCCCCACCCCCCTCCCCGGGCCTAGATCGCTCCTCCTAGGCTCGGTTCCCCGAGAGCCCACCGGCCCGTCTCCCCGCAGGCGCTTGGATGAAGGGGCAGGGGCTAGGCTGGGAGGCGAAGAAAGAAGAGGCGTTTCTGAGGAGCGGGACGCAGTTCTCGGGCACCGACGGGCTGGCGCTGCCGCAGGACGGTCTCTACTACCTCTACTGTCACGTCGGCTACCGGGGCCGGGCGCCCCCTGCCGGCGGGGCTCCCCGGGGCCGCGCGGTCGTGCTGCGCAGCTCGCTGTACCGGGCAGGGGGCGCCTACGGGCCGGGCGCTCCCCAGCTGCTGCTCGAGGGCGCCGAGACCGTGACCTCGGTCGTGGACTGGGACGGGAGGCGCGAGTACGGCCCCCTGTGGTACACGAGCGTGGGGTTCGGCGGCCTGGTGCAGCTCCGGAGAGGCGAGAGGGTGTACGTGAACATCAGTCACCCGGACATGGTGGACTACAGGAGAGGGAAGACCTCCTTCGGGGCTGTGATGGTGGGGTGAGGGCCGCCCCAACCCTGGGAAAACCGCTGGCCCCCAGCTCGGTGAGAACTACGCGGGAGGAGACTGTTTGCAAACTGATTTGGAGCGAGGTGGAAATAAAGAGTCTAAAACTCCATGCGGCTGTCCGGACGCTGAGGCGCTAACGTGTCTTAATCCAGGCGTTGGGTGAAAGGTCTCAGGATTTTTCCTAATACCCAGAGGGTGTGGTCTTTGCTCCCCAGCCATCCACTCCTGTCTGCACCAGCAGGCCCCAGCGTTAGTCTAACTGGAGGGTAGGAGGAAGGCGCTCTCCTCAAACCCAGAAGCCCCCACAAGCATCCTGATGCCCAGGGCTACATGGTCCCCTCCAGGTCAGGCACTGCACTCTTCATCATAGGTTCCGCCCAATGGGGGTCATTACAGGGGGAGGCAAGCCTCTCACAAAGGGGCCGCGGCAGCGTGACCCCTAATACAGCCGAGCAGTGAAGCTCCCCCACCCACAATCCGTTCTCTGCCGAGCAGTGGCCAGGCCTCCTGGGTCTGAAGCGGGAGGCTGAAGGAAGACAGCGGGCTCAGCTGTCTGAGCCAGGTGGGGAAGGGGAGGAGGCAGTGATGCCCCAGACATCAGGGGGCGCTGGGGGAGGGGGGAAGAGGAAAAATTGGGGCCACTGGGTCCTGTCTTCGGCGGGATGGAAAGTCCGCACCCATGGGTCACACTGTGGGTCCCCTCTCTCCAAAGTGGGCAAGTGTGGGGACTCCTGGGGTGAGTAACAGCATGACTGGCCCACCCCATGACCAACTTCCAGCCTGCGGTTGCTACGAGGAGGCAGAGGAGGACCAGGGCCCTATCTGGGTCACCCTGCGGGTCACAACACCCCCACGGCACACCACACAAAGTTGGTTTTCCCTTGCCTGGCAACCGCTGCGGAAGGAAAACCCAATTTCTGGGCCCAGTGGGGGCTCCCGCTCTCGGGGGCTCCATGTCCAAGTTCCTATTTGTCTTCATCTCTGTGTCCAGCCTCCCTGCAAGAGAGGGGAATGACAGAGGTTCCTTGCTTGGCTCAGTAGTCGAGTGCCTGTGTGGATTGAGTTCCGGGCTCCTGGCTTCAGCCTGACCCTAGCTGTTGCAGGCATTTGGGGAGTGATCAGAGGTTGGAAGATTTCTCTCCTTCTCTCCTCTCCATAAATAAATAAGAAATTTAAAATACTTATTTTATTGCTTTGAAAGGCAGAGTTATAGAGAGTGAGAGGGAAAGATGGAGAGAGAGAGAGAGAGAGAGAGAGAGAGAGAGAGATACCTTCCATCCTCTGGTTCCCTCTCTGAATGTCTGCAATGGTCTAGGTTGGGCCAGGCTGAAGCCAAGAGGCTGGAGCTTCATCTGAGTCTCTCATGTGGGTGCAGGGGCCCAAGCTCTTGGGCCACCATCTGCTGCTTTCTCATATGCATTAGCAGGAAGCTTGATCAGAAGTGGAGCAGCCAGGATTCAAACCAGTGCCCATACTGGATGCCAATGTTGCAGGTGGCGACTTAACCCATTATGCCATAACACCAGCCCCAATATATATTTTTTAAATCCAATTTTAGCTAAGAACACTGATTAGTCAGTTTAGCAAGAACTCTCTGCCCCTCATTCTCCATACCTGATTTTATTTTTTTAATTTGAAAGACAGAGACGACAATCAGAGTGCTCTCTCACTCACTGGCTCACTGCTCAAAAACCCATAACAAGCCAGGAGTGGCCGGGAACTGGGAACTCAATCCGGGTCTCCCACAGGTAGCAAGGACACAACTACTTGAGCTCTTCAACTGCTGCCTCCCAGGGAGCACGTTATCAGAAACCTGGAATTGGGAGCAGAGCAGGGATTTGTATGCAGGTACTCTGATATGGGATAGGAGTATCCTGAGTGATATCTTTTTTTAAATTTTATTTTTAAAGATTTTATTTATTTATTTGAGAGGTTGAGTTACAGACAGTGAGAGGAAAAGAAAGGTCTTCTGGTTCACTCCCCAAATTGGCCGCAACAGCCAGAGCTATGACGATCTGAAGCCAGGAGCCAGGAGCTTCTTCCTGATCTCCCACGTGGGTGCAGGGGCCAAAGGATCTGGGCCATCTTCTACTGCTTTCCCAGGACACAGCAGAGAGCTGGATTGGAAGAGGGACAGCCAGGACTAGAACCTGCACCCATATGGGATGCCGGCGCCGCAGGCAGAGGATTAACCTACTGCGCCACAGCACTGGCCCCCCCTGAGTGGTATCTTAACTGCTGCTCTAAATGCCTGCCCCATCATGCTTGATATCTGATCAAATCCTTCAGCCTCTACCATTCCCCAAGTGATGTCTGATCACCTTGGCCTGTCTTTGGCAAGAATCCTGCTTGGTGGTTTTAGCATAATCCCCTTTACTGAGGTTTTTTCTTAACCTTTCTTCATCCATGGACCCCTACCCTGCTCCTTGGCTATCAACTGCTGCCCCATGCCCAGGCTGTTTTGGGGTGGAGCCTGATCTCTCTCCCCCAGAACAAGAGCCCAGGGCACTGGTCCCTGTACCTGCCATGATGGGCCTGAGTAAAGTCTTTCTTACTTCAATAAGGATCATTAATGTGTTCTTTACCAGGAGTGCTTTTCTCTTTCTGTTTCCCTCACTTCATCCATTCCACTCATCATCTGCCAAAAAGATCAGTGAGATTGAGCTGGCTCCTGGGTCCTTCACCCACGTGTCATTCCTTGTTTCTTATGTAGTCTCTTGTATTCCACCCACCAAGGGGACGGAAGCGGATTGAAGAAAGGGAGCCAGAATTCATGCATTGTCTCCCGTGCCAGGTGCCGAGCTCGGGGTCCCCTGTGTGTGTGTATGGGGGGGGGCGTTCCCAGCTCCCTTTGACAGCTTGCGGGGAACTGGTGCAGGTTGCACGGTTAGGACGGGGCTGAGCGAGGGGCCTGGGACTCAGGGGTTTGGAGCCCAGACACCTGCATCTCTGGAAGTCCCTTGGCTGTGATTCAGGTAGCTGAGAATGTGGCACCTCCCCAGCTCAGTCAGGCCACAACAGCAGGAAAGAGCTGCAGGACTTTCCCAGCAGGGAGCGGAATTCCCAGACTGGGAAATTCCCGCGCCCCCAGGGAAAGGCAATTAGGTTCAGGCTCCTGCGTCCTGGGCAAGAGGGGATCTTTCTGTGTCTGTAGGGTCTCCTGGACCCCAAGAGTCTAAGGTCCCAAGGATCTTCAGGGAGTGGGCTCCCACCCTCAAGGAGAGGCAGATGCAGAATCAATTTTGGGAGACTATGGGGGCGGGGCATTTCGTCTATCGGTTAAGACACTTGTGTCCCATACCCAGCTGCCTGGGTTTGATTCCCAGCTCCACTCCTGACTCCAACTTCCTGCTAATGCAGACCATGGGAGGCAGTGGTGATGGCCCAAGTAATTGGGTACTTGTCATCCAGATAGGAGACCTGAGTTGAATTCCTGACTTCTGGCTGCAGCCCATGGCAAGGCATTATGGGACAAGAACCAGTGGGTGGGCACTCTCTCTTTATCTGTCTCTGCCTTTCAAATAACTAGAAGCAAGAAAGAAGGAAAAGAGAACAGGTTTATTTTTTAAGGAGTCTTTATTTCTCGCCACTGACCAGTAGGGCGGTTACCAACACAACTCCCTTAGGGAGCAGAGGTTCGGTGATGTAGCGACGGGTCAGTCACCAAATCAGCATTAGTGAGACAACCTGATCAGATAAATATCTTCTTAAAAACATAAGTGAAGGGAGGCACAGGGGCCAGGAGGCCAGGTGGGATCGACCCATGGTTCTGCTCTGTTTTCACGGAAAACGTGTGAGAACCAAGGCAGCTCCTACGCTGGGTACCCCAGGATGCGCTGAGCTTCCAAATAAATACATTCATCGGCAAATAAATAAATATTAAATAAATAATAAATAATCAATAATCACCAGTGCAACTATAAATAGAGGGGCCCTGCCCTCGGCGGGGGGCGGGGCTCCACATTGCAGAGAAGAGTGTAGAAACATCTGAGGAGAGGAAGGCCTAGGTCTGGGTGACAACTTCTCTCAAGGGCTCTTCTAGAAGGTTCTGGCCTGAACCCACGGCTACGTGGTCCCCACATTCCGGATGTTCCGGGCTCAATCTGAGAATGGAGTTCTGAAGGCCCCAGTGAGTCCTGGAAGCCTCAGTTTGAATGCTTTGGTGTGGCCAGGGCCCTGACTGTGCAGGCCTACACCACCACGGTCCAGGTTTCTAAGTGGTGGTGTTAAAAGTTCTGAGGTCTGATTCTGAGCCCCTCATTTCTGTTTCTAAGCTAGAGGAGGATGAGAGGGGCTGAGGGCGCCCAGAGTGAGGGGGCTGGGGTGGGAGAGGGGGAGGAGTGGTGGTCAGTCCCCTCACAGGGCAATGATCCCAAAGTAGACCTGCCCGGACTCGGCAAGGTCCAGGTACTCAGGCTGGTTGACCTCGGTGCTGAGCCGGTCACCCTTCTCCAACTGGAAGACGCCGCCCAGGTAGATGGGCTCGTACCAGGCCATGGGCTCAGCCTCCTCGGGGGTCTCCCGGTGGCAGGGGCTCTTGATGGCAGAGAGGAGGTTGACCTTGTTCGGGTAGGAGACGGCGAAGCGGCTGACAGTGTGAGTGAGGAGCACGTAGGAGCGGCAGCCTTGACCGCTGAAGAGAACCTGGGAGTAGATGAGGTACAGCCCGTCGGCCGGCACCACCAGCTGGTTGTCCGTGAGCTTCATGCCGTTGGCCAGCAGGGCGTTCGCACGCTGGCTCAGCCACTGGAGCTGGCCCTCCACTTGCGGGTTTGCTGGAGAAAAAGAGAAGGGAGGGAGGGGTGAGTCAGGGTAACTGTGACGGTTCACCCTCCACATCCTGGGCCCCACGTTCTGCCTGCCCTCACATCCGGTTCCTGCTCCTCCGTGGGCCTTCCCACATCCCATCTAGCCGTGGGGTTCTCAGTGCCCCCTCTGTTCCTCCACCCTCCCCTTGAGCTCAGCAGGTGCTTCTCACTCCGTCTCCCACGTCTCAGCCCTCAGATCCCCTCCCTCCAAGTCCCGCGTGCTCCTTCGCGCCCTGGACACCCACTCAGAGCTCTTACCTACTACGTGGGCTAGAGGCTTGTCACTCAGGGCCCGAGAAGCTGATCCTGAGAAGAAGAAAGACAGAGCTGAGACCCCTATCCTCAGGAGACGATATCCCCTCCCAAAACCCAGACTCTAATCCCTGCCCTTCGCTGCTTGCTTCCCGGGACTACAGCTCCCCTCCCACTCAAACCCAGGACGGTAGGAGAAGCTAGAGACACTTACTGAGGGTGACCATCTGGGCCACAGGGTTGACTAGATGGAGGTTGTTTGGGGACTGCTGGGGGAAAAAAGGAGAGGATTAGCATGGGGGAATCACGCTCAAAGGAGCAACAGGTGGCAGCTCAGCCGGCTTTTGCTCTGCTGTCTCTTCATCCATCCACTCATCGGGCTCCTTCCCTCCCTCCCTCCCTCCCTCCCTCCCTTCCTTCCCCCTAACAACTCTTTCGGGAGGTTCCTTCTGTGTACCAGACGCCCTGTCTTCACCCCCTCTCGTCTCTGTCTCCGCATGTCCCTCCTTATCTCGCGTATCTCCCACATCTCTCTATCTGCTTGCTCGTTCATTCATTCATTCTTGCATGCATGCAGCCAAGGTCTAGTGAGCACCCTCCTCCTCTCCACATCTCCCTCTGCCTCCCCATCTGGCCCCACGGTTTCCCGCCCCCATCCCGTCAGCTAACTCATTCATTTCTGTCGGCCGCCACGCACTCACCTCTTCCTCCTGAGGGCCGATCACCCTGAAGTGCAGCAGGCAGAAGAGCGTGGTGGCTCCAGCCACGAGCAGGAAAGAGAAGAGGCTGAGGCAGAGGCAACGCTTGGAGCCCTGGGGCCCCCCTGCCTTCTTGGGGAGCGGCCCCTCCGCCAGCTCGACGTCCCGGATCATACTCTCAGTGCTCATGGCGCTCTCTCCAGAGGGAGGTGGTGGAACCGGGGGCTGGTGTGTGAGAGAGGAAGACGGCACACCGGCTGGCAGCTTGTCTGGCGGGGCGGCGTCTGGGAGTTACTGCCGGGGGAGCCTGGAGTTGCTGCTCTCCCTCCTAGCTGGTGCCCGTGTCCTCACTGAGGGAGCTTCTCTGGCTGGGTGTGCACACAGCTGCCTTTATAGCCCGCGGGCGAGAGGGGGGCGGGGAAAGGCTCTCATTCACCCAGCGGAAAACTTCCTTGGTGGAGAAACCCATGAGCTCATCTGGAGGAAGCGGTAGTGGGCTCTACACCTTCTCTCTCGGTTTCTTCTCCATCTCGGGGGTGGGGGCGGGGCTTTGGAAAGTTGGGGACACCCAGGCATCAAGGATACTCCTCACCCTCCCGACCCGGATTTGGAGGCGAATGTCTTGGGCCAGTTACCAGTGCAAGCAGAGCAACCTGGAAGCTGGATCCTGGTTGCCCCTGCCCCCACCACGCCTACTTTGGGGGACCGATGGGTGTGCTGTTTCCCTCTGATTTCCAGACAGGACTCCTGTGGGGGGTAGAACTTGAAGTAGGAGGGGCTTCAGAAGGCTGAGACCTTGAGCGGGAGAAACCTGGGCGGTGCTGGGTCTGAGACAGGTGTCTGGGTCCCCGGGGGGGCAAAAGGCGCTGGGGGCTGGGTGCATGGGGTGTGCATGGGGCCCCTGGCAGGGCTGGGTGGAGGATAGCAGGGACAAGCCTGGGACAGCCCCAGAGGGAGGGAAATCAGCCCTGGGAATTCACGGCCCCACAGGGCACGGCTTCTCCTTTCATTCTGAACCCGGATCCCCACTACTGGTTTCAATCTTGATTTCCAAGGGACTCTGAGGTCCCTGATTTTTTTTCATGAATCCACCCCTCCCTTCCAAGCCCTGTTATGCGGCTGCGTGTCCACAAAGTCTGCTGTGTTCCACACCCCCTGGTGCTCCTTGGGGTCCTGTGCAAAGCTCCTCCTCAGGGGGTCTCCATCTGCACCCTCACCATCTGGGACAGCCCTCCCTTTGTGTGGTCCCTTCTCCCCAGAGGCCCCCTGTGACCCCCTCCCTCAAGCCTCTAGGAGAGGTCTCCCGGGGACCCCCTGACTCCCACCCCCCCAGACCCCGGGGACCCCATCTCTCCAGTCTTCCCAGCTCATCCTTTGGTTCCCGTGCAGCACTTTGGCTGCCTCTCCCCTGGGAGTCGGCCACACACCCCTGGAGCTCCTTGGGGGCTTTTTATCTCCTGGACCTCTGCCCACAGTTCCCGACCCCTCTGTGGCCCCCGTCCCTCTCTCCATTCCGTAGAGAGACCTGGGGAATTCTCCCCTCCCAGAGAGAGAGACCGACACACGAGCAGACAGCACTTCAGAGAAAAGAGGTTTATTGGGCTTCACTGAGGGCGAGGGCGCAGGTGTCTCCCCGGGGGTGTCTGGTCAAGCGATGCTGGCTCGGCGGCCCTTTCGCTTCCTTCTCGAGCCCCCCAGTTCCTCAGACCTCTCTCTCTCTCTCTCTGAGCCTTGTCCAAGTGCCTTGTCTTTAGCTCTTGAGCCTGTTCAACACTCTCTCTCTCCTGACATCCTTGTGTTATTCCCCTCTCTCCATGCTCCATAAATAAATAACTTAATTCCCCCCCTTCATAAATAGTCCCCCTTCCCTGCCTCTAGTCTTCCTCCCAAGCTGCCCTGTGTCCCGGTCCGGGTCCAGGCGCAGGCCCCACCTAGACAGTGGGGAACAGCAGGACAGCTCCGGCTCTGAATTTCTAGGCAGGCGGCTCTGAATTTCTAGGCAGGCGTGACATCCTGGGTTCAGGGAGGTGCGGTCCCCTGGGGGGCCTAGAATTCCTTCTTTGAAGGCTCCAGGTGACTTGAGTGGGGGAGACTTGAGACTGTTGGAATGGTCCAAGGAGAGGTGGTGGTGATCCTTGAAACAGTCAGAATGGAGTCAAAATGGGGAGAAGGCCTTGAAGCCCATTTTTTTTTCTTTCTGGATTTTTCTAAGGTCTACAGAGCAAAGGCTCCAAAGAAGACACTACTGGGGCTGAGGAGCAGGTGGGCGATGCCATCTGTGTGGGTGGACAGCTGGTCTCCCTGGGTGAGCAGGAACACGGCCCCCTGGTACACGGAGCGCACCCAGGGTCCCTGCGGCCCTGGGCACACGGACTTCTGGGCGCTGAGGAGAGGCACATGGAAGGAGTACTGGGAGGAGAAGAGCTGGACCTCGTGAGCCAGGTAGAGAGGCGTGGGCACGGCCTTGGGGGAGCAGCCTTCCCCAGAGAAAACCACCTGCGAGTACACGAAGTAGAGCCCGCTGCTGGGCACCAGCAGGGAATTGTTGCTCAGGGAGAAGCCGTGGCGGAGGAAGGCCCGATCCGTGTTCGCTCTCCAGCGCAGCGAGTCCTGCGCGCTGGGGTCTCCTGGGGTGGGGAGGGAAGGGCAGGTCAGAGTCTCAGCCCCTGAGGGAGCAGCACTGGACAGCTGAGCTCAGGTGAGGGCTGGGGGAGGTGCTAGTGGGGGAGGACTTGGCGGAGGGGTGTGGGTTGTACTTGGGACCCTGGTGGGGCTGTAGCAGGAGAGCCAGGGGGCTGTGTGTCTGGGGCCCGGTGGGTGTTTACCAACGAGGTGCGCAGCAGGTTTGAGGGTGCTGTGGCCGAAATGTTTCTGAAGGCGCTGCTGGGCATTCCGGGCAGCTGAGGGCGGGAACTCAGCCCCAGGGAGCCCCTAGGGGAGAACAGAGTTGAGGGGAGCTGCGAGGCTCAAGGTTGGGCGCACCCCGGCAGCTCCCCATTCTCCTGCGGCCTCACCTGGGCCCCAGGCGGCGGCGGGGCCAGCAGCAGCCCCAGAAGGAGGGGGAGGTAGAGACGTCCAGGTGGTGTCATGGGGAGAACCTGCAGGGAGAGAGAGAAAGAGAGCGCGCCCCGCGGAGTGAGAGACGGTGGGTGGGGCGGGGCACGCAGCGGAAGAGGGACCTCCCGCCCGCCCGCCCGCCCACCGAGACAGCCACCCCAACGACAGGGCGACAGAGAGAGAAGAGGAGGAGATGCAGGCAGGGGAGCCCCGAGGTGAACAGGAGAGAAAGAGAAAGAGACAGACAGGAAGGTGGCAGAAACAGAGAGCCCGTGACAGGGATGACGCACAGCTGGAGAGGCAGACACAAGAACAAACCAAAAGCAAACCCACCAAGGCCCAGGCCCAGGCAGGTGGGGGGCGGGGAGGGGAGGCGCGGGGTGCCAGGCAGGTGGCGCCGGCCTGTGCCCGGGCGGAGGGGGCAGGAGGCTGTGCGGCAGCCCAGGCAGCTGGGCAGAAGACTCTCACCTGCTGTGCGGGGCCCCTGGGCCCGGACGCTTGGGTCCCTTTATAGAGGAAGCGGCAGTGGCAGCGGCAGCGTGGCAGGCGGCGGGCGGGTTCTAGGTCGGGGCTGGGGCCCGGGGAAGCCCCCAGGGCTCAGAAGATGCTGCTGTTTCAGTCGAAGGCAGGAAAGGCTGGGGCCTAGGAGGGAACCACAGGCTGGGGGCTCGGGCGATTGAGTTCTGGGAAGGCGAGTGGGGTCAGGGGAACCGTGGGCTGGGACGGCCGCGGAGGGAGGGCAGGCCCAGCAGTTCCAGAGAAGGGACAGTCGTTTCGGGGAGGACGAGCGGCAGCAGCCTGGGTGTGGGCTGCAGGCCAGTTCCCTGAACAGCCAGCGCAGTGAACACCTCTGCACCCCACCAGCTTCCTTCTCGGGCAGCCCTGGCCCTCGTCTTTGCTCGTCCCAGTGTGTGCACTTTCCAGGCTGTCTGGCAGGTCTCAAATCAGGGCTGTGTACCTGCTGCCTTGGGGAAAGGAGCCCCCTCTCCCTCCCCAAGTGTCCTGGCTTGGAAGATGAATCACCCCCGTGCCAAGATGATGCTACAAGCTCTTGGATGACAAGCTCCCGTCCCACCCTGAACAGTGCCTGCCCCCTCACTCCAGCCTCAGCCCCTCCCATCAGATTTCTGTATCCCGTGGAAACACCCCCTCCAGGGTCAGTGCTGGGGCCACTGCTGTGCGATCTGTAGTACAAGCTTCAACAGTCCCCCCAGGAGAGGCCTAAGGGTGGTGGCCTAAGCTGGGGTGGGCGTAGCTAAGGGACTTGCCTTGAAACTGCGTTTGCAGAGCCAATGCACTATTTCAATACTGTTCAATATTCTTATTTTCTTTTTTTAAGATTTATTTAATTTTTTTAAAGATTAATTTACTTGAAAGGCAGAATTACAGAGAGTGAAAGGGAGAGAGAGAGAGACAAAGAGAGAGAGAGAGAGGTCTTCCATCCACTGGTTCAGTCCTCAAATGGCCGCAATGACCAGGGCCAGGCTAAAGCCAGGAGCCAGGAACCTCAGCCGGGTTGGGTCTCGCACATGAATGCAGGGACCCAAGCACCTGGGCCATCCTCCATTGCCTTCCCAGGCACGTTAGCAGGGAGCTGGATCTGGAGTGGAGCAGCTGGGACACGCACCGGCGCCCATGCGGGATGCAGGCGTGCAGTCAGCGGCCCAATTCGCTACACCACAGCACCAGCTCCTATTTTCTTGTTGTTGATGGATAATTTAGGTGCAGGGGAGTGCACACCTCTTCTATGTGCTGTGATGAATTTTCCCACTGTATGTGACCCTGGAGCTGTCACCCACTGCTATATGCTTTCTGGTCCCCAACAGGTTCCCTTGTACCCCCGCCCAGTCAGTCACCTCCCAGAAAACCAACTGCTCTCTGGCCCTGCTCACCGCAGCTTGGTTCTTCCTGCTTGTGGACTTAGTATAAATGAAATCACAGAGGAAGTGCTCAGGAGCGCTCGGCATCTTTCACTCAGCGTATCTGTGAGATTCACACACGTGGTCGCATCTGTCAGAATTCTACAAATATATTTTTAAATGTAAATGACACCTTTTATTGTTGAATTGCTGCTCTTTTAAAAAATATCTATTTTATTTATTTGAAAGACAGAGTTACAGAGAGAGGTAGAGACACAGAGAGAGGTCTTCCATCTGCTGGTTCATTGAACAGAAAGTCGCAACGGCCGGAGCTGTGTCGATCTGAAGCCAGGAGCCTGGAGCTTCTTCCAGGTCTCCCACATGGGTGCAGGGCCCAAGGACTTGGGCCATCTTCTACTGCTGTCCCAGGCCATAGCAGAGAGCTGCATCAGAAGTGGAGCAGCCGGGACTAGAATCGGTGTCCATTTGGGATGCTGGCACTGCAGGCCAGGGTTTTAACCCACTGCGCCACAACGCTGGCCCTCTACAGATATTTTTTAAAAGATTTGTTTATTTATTTGAAAGAGTGAAAGAGAAGAGAGAGAGAGGAAGACAGAGAGAGAGAGAGAGAGAGAGAGAAATCCTCCATCCATTGGCTCATTCCCCAAATGGCTGCAACAGCCGGGGCTGGAGTCAGGTACTCCATCTGGGTTTCCCATGTGGATGGCAGGGACCCAGATACTTGGGTAAGCATGTGCTGCCCTCCCAGGTACATTAGACCAAAGCCAGGATGCAAACTAGCGCTGCGATGTGGGCTGCTGGCATCGAAGGGGCAGCTTAAGGTGCCACACCACCTCATGAGCTCTCAGCAGTTGTGTGTGTGATGCGAGAGTCCATCGGATGAGCACACTCTAATGTGTGATGTGAGTCCATCGGATGAGCACACTCTAATGTGTGATGTGAGTCCATCGGATGAGCACACTCTAATGTGTGATGTGAGTCCATCGGATGAGCACACTCTAATGTGTGATGCGAGAGTCCATCGGATGAACACACTCTAATGTGTTCTGTGGAGGCATTTGGTTTCTTTCTAGTTTTTAGCTAATATGAAAAGCGTTGATTTGAACATTCTTGTAGAAGAGCCAGTTTTCTCTTAGCTTGTAAGTTAAAGGTTCTTTTTTTTTTTTTTAAAGATTTATTTATTTAATTTGAAAGTCAGAATTACACATAGAGAGGAGAGGCGGAGAGAGAGAGAGAGGTTCTCCATCCGATGATTCATTCCCCAATTGGTTGCAATGGCCAGAGCTGGGCCAATCCAAAGCCAGGAGCCAGGAGCTTCTTCTGGGTCTCCCTGGTGGGTGCAGGGGCCCAAGGACTTGGGCCATCTTCTACTGCTTTCCCAGGCCATAGCAGAAAGCTGGATTGGAAGTGGAGCAGCCAGGACTCGAACTGGTGCTTTACCCTCTAAGCCACAGTGCCGGCCCTCAAATATTATTGTTGTTGCTATTGCTGTGGTGAATTGGGCAGTTGAGAGGGGCTGGGGCTTGGGCTGGTGAGGCTAAAGTGCTGCTGCCCTGGGCACACTGCACTCAGGCACAGGTTCTGGAAGGGTCATGTATCCTGTCGTGATAAATTCTTATTCTGAGCACGCGTGAGTGATTTCTCCTGCTTTCCCAGCAGGAGCTCCTGCTTTCTCAGCAGGGAGCTGAATCGGAAGTGGAGCAGCTGGCCCTGTTCAATCCAAGTTTTGTGTGACATGGGAGCATCGAAGAGCTAAGATTCTGTCAGCGAGATTATCAGTATGAGGGGCTGGTGCTGTGGCGTAGTGGGTAAAGCCGCTGCCTGCAGTGCCAGCATCCCATATGGGTGCCAGTTCGAGTCCCGGCTACTCCACTTCCGATCCAGCTCTGCTATGTCCTGGGAAAGCAGTAGAGATGGCCCAAGTCCTTGGGCCCCTGCACCCATGTGGGAGACCTGGAAGAAGCTCCTGGCTCCTGGCTTCAGATCAGCATAGCTCTGGCCATTGTGGGCCATCTGGGGAGTGAACCAGCAGATGGAAGACTCTCTCTCTTTCTCTCTCTCTGCCTCTCTGTAACTCTGTCTTTCAAATAAATAAATAAATCTTTAAAAAAAAAACGAATATCAGTTTGACAGATTAAACCAACGAGGCCCACTGATCTGGATCTCACTCTGTGGACCCTGGAACGGGAGCCAAGCTGAACCTCTTCCCTCTATAAAGTCGGTGCCCCAGGTGTTTCGTTATAGTGATGGAAGGCTGACGACACGAGGCAGGTCGGGAGTTGCTTTATTGCCGGTTGTGACTCAGAGAGGTAGGGGAGAAGGTAGAGTAGTAATCCTAAATTTTGTGGCTGGATTTGGGGATGAGGGGTGCTGGGTCCCGTGGCTTGGCTTGGGGTGGAAGGTGGGGGAGTGGAGAAGACAGAGCAGGAGAAGGGCAGCTGCCTCGGGACCTTCCAGTCTTCCAGTTCCAGCAGCAGCAGGCCCATAGCTGGGGCGCTGTGTCCCGAGACCCAGCAGCTCGCATTCTGCCTCTTTGGCTTTCTCTCTGCTCCACAGCGCCGAGGGTACGGATGTGAATGCTGGTCCCCCGACCTCTGGAGTGCAAGGATAAGAAAGTGGGGTAGCCCCAGGACCGTGGGCTCAACCACAGAGAAACTGTGGCCCTGGTCTGGTGGACAGACGGCTCAGGTGCTGCTGCTGCCGGAGGCAAAGAGCTTGCTGATGGGTGGGGGTCCCAGGTAGAGGGAGGAGTTTGTGCAAAGGCCCGAGGTGGGAGAGTTCAGGGCCCGTAATGCGTGGAAAGAGCAGAGGTGAGGCTGGGGGGAAAGCTGAGAACATATCCCGAAGGCCTTAACCCCAAGTTTAGATTTCACTAAATGTGATGGAAAGTCACTTAAAATATTAAGCGAGAAAGGAAACCACTAGATTGATATGTCAGAAAATGAGCCTGGGGGCGAGTGTTGTGGTGCAGCGGGTTAAGCTGCAGTTTGCATATCGGCGCGTTGGTTTGACTTGGCTGTGTGCTTCCAGTCCAGCTCTCTGCTACCGAGCCTGCAAAGGCGGCAGATAATGGCCCACGAACCCGGGTTCCTGTCATCCGTGGCAGGGGGACCCAGGTGGAGTTCCTGGTTCCTGGCTTCAGCCTGGCCCAGCCCTGGCTGTTGTGGTCATTTGGGGGAGTGAACTGGTAGATGGAAAATTCTCTTTATCTCTCGCTGTCACTCTGCCTTTCAAATCAACAAATAGATCTTAAAAGAAAAAGCAAAATGAGTCTGGAGACCACATGGAGATTGGATTGGGGCGTGGAGCAGGGACTAAAGGAGAAACCAGCATGGTTTGGGGTCACTGCCGCTGGGAGGTGTGGGCGTCTGTGTTTATATTGAGGCAGCAGCAGGAGAACAGATGTAGAAAACCTACATCTTCGTGGCCGACCAGATGTGACAGGAGAAGAGACGTCCGAGAGGGATGTATCTTAAATCTCTTGGTCTAGCTTCGTCTTCTTTTTTAAAAAGAGAATTCACTTGTTTGTGAAGGATGGAGGGAGAAGAAGGGGGACACTGGCTGCTAACTCACTTGAACAGTCACTGCGGCCACCCAAATTCTGCATTAGCGGGAAGCTGGAGTCGAGAATCAAACCCACGTCCTCTGGTGTAGAACACAGGCGTCTAAGCCTCTAGGCCAAGTGCCAGCCCCCTTCTTGCTCTTTGAACTTTGCCCTTGTGTCACTGTTGTTTCCCTTTCGGCCCCTGCTCCTCTCCCTTCTCTGTGTCTCTCTTTCTCTGGGACTTTCTTTCTCTCTCTCTCTCTCTCTCTCTCTCTTTCTCTCTTTCTCTCTTTCTCTCTTTCT